CCCCCCCCCCCCCCCCCAACAGGAAGTAATTAGGCGGAAGAAACACAGATGCTGTGGAATTCATCTCTCATCAGGAACACTAACATTCAGATATTTTAGCTTTACTATGAGTGTAAGGAAACGATCGATTCTTGGGATTTGAAATAAAGGATGAATGAAACACAAGAGTCCACTGTGACTCTGTTTCTTTATTTAGAGAGAAGACCTGTGTCAGTTTTATTCAGTTATGTAACAGCCACTTGAACACAGAGAATAACAAACCCATCCAGAGACCCAAGGCTAAAACACACACAAATTAAGCAGCCTCTAGTCTAATGTGTGTGTGTGTGTGTGTGTGTGTGTGTTGTACATAAACCACTTCAGTGTTAAACATTCTATCTGAGAGCAACCTGACACTAATGAGAAAGAGATATGCTGATCATCATCACATAACACGTTATAATCACCATCACATCATTACACACTATAATAGCTACCATCAGATATCATAACACAACGTATTCACCATCATCACAAACCATAGCATATGATCATCACATAACACAAAATAATCACATCATAACAAACTATGAATCACCATCATCACATCAAAACACACTGTAATAACATCACATCATAACACACTGTAATAACATCACACCATAATAACACACTATAATCACCATCACAACATAACACACTGTAATAACATCATCACATCATAACAACACACTATAATCACCATCATTACATCATAACACACTGTAATAACATCATCACATCATAACACACTCTAGTAACATCCTCACATCATAACACACTCTAATAACATCCTCACATCATAATAACACACTATAATCACCATCATCACATTTTAACACACTCTAATAACATCATCACATCATCATAATAACACACTATAATCACCATCACATTTTAACACACTCTAATAACATCATCACGTCATAATAACACACTATAATCACCATCATCACATTTTAACACACTCTAATAACATCATCACATCATAATAACACACTATAATCACCATCATCACATTTTAACATACTATAATCACCATCATCACATCATAACACACTCTAATAACATCATCACATCATAACACAATGTAATAACATCATCACATCATAACCCATATAATCACCATAATTTCATACCATAACATACTATAATCACCATGATCACATACCATAACATACTGTACAATAATCATCACATAAAACAATATAATCATATCATAACATACTGTAATTACCATCATCACAAACAATGTCATGCTATAATCACCATGATGACATACAATATAATCACATCATAACATAACATACTATAATCACAATCATCACATAACACTATAAAAACAATCACATCATAAAACATTGTAATCACCATCATGTTTCATTACACACTATAATCACCACAATCACATAACATACCTATAATAACAACCATCATGACATGCTATAATACCCTATAATCACACTATCAGACACCATAACACACTCTAATCACCATCACCAAGTAACACACCATAATCAATATCATCACATGCTATAATAACACACTGTAATCACCATCCGATAAGACAACATTAGGCTATCAAATGAGGCTCTGACTCATTCAAGACTGTGTGACAGAGTCTTGGAAAATAATTTATCTACAATGTGTTGCATTAGGTCTACTTTGAAATTAATAATGAATGGACAGACACCAAGACAAATAGGTCTCAGCCTCACAAACATGAAAGAAAATATCACAAAAACAAAGCACATGAATGAATATCACATCAACCCATATGCTCATCTCGTCAAACAGATGACAGAAATATCATCATTCAGCGGATGGTTGATCAATAATAAGTACCTTGTGTGTTAAATCCTGATTATAAGCGACGGCCGCTGCGCTGATCTGATCCATCACTGAGCGCCGATGACGAAACTACTGAGACATCTGCGTCATTTCCACACCTCCCTCACGAGGACAAACACCGAAAGCATGCTTTACAAAATCAATAAATCTGGCAGCATTATTATAAACAATTCGACCATATGTTAAAATACTCTTGCTCTTTTGGCATTGAATAAAAACATTGTGGAAAAAGAGAATTGAATAAAAACATTGTGGGAAAAGATAAAATAGATCTCCTTCATATAAACACAAACTGCACAAGAAATTATGAGTATTTATTATTATTATTATTATTACAGTGATAAAACAAACAGAATCACGAAATTATATAAAAACGTCAACAAATGTAGAGATGAGTTTTAATGGTGACCACTAGATGGCAGAACAGACTAAACGACAAAAAAGTAATGTGTTACTGAACACCTACTTTTCTACTGACTGTAGAAAATAAATATTCAAGTAAAAATTCAATGTAACCTTTTTTTTCAACACTGGCTTTATTGATTTTAGAAACTTTAACATGATGAGAAGGCTTGGACTGTCCAGCTAAAAATAGAACTATAAAAGTATCATGAAAGTAGTTCATATGACAGAAAATAAATATTCAAGTAAAAATTCAATGTAACCTTTTTTTTCAACACTGGCTTTATTGATTTTAGAAACTTTAACATGATGAGAAGGCTTGGACTGTCCAGCTAAAAATAGAACTATAAAAGTATCATGAAAGTAGTTCATATGACCCGTCTGCTATATTCAAGTCATCTAAAGTCACATGAACTTTATGTGATAAACAGAGATGCCATTGAGCATAAATACAATGCTTTACATTTGCTTTTATGTGTTTGGCAGTGCATTCTTACTATACTATAGCCAGATCTGGAGAGAGAGAGAGAGAGGGAGAGAGAGAGAGAGAGAGAGAGAGAGAGAGAGAGAGAGAGAGAGAGAGAGAGAGAGAGAGAGAGAGAGAGAGAGAGAGAGAGAGAGAGAGAGAGAGAGAGAGAGAGAGAGAGAGAGAGAGAGAGAGAGAGAGAGAGAGAGAGAGAGAGAGAGAGAGAGAGAGAGAGAGAGAGAGAGAGAGAGAGAGAGAGAGAGAGAGAGAGAGAGAGAGAGAGAGAGAGAGAGAGAGAGAGAGAGAGAGAGAGAGAGAGAGAGAGAGAGAGAGAGAGAGAGAGAGAGAGAGAGAGAGAGAGAGAGAGAGAGAGAGAGAGAGAGAGAGAGAGAGAGAGAGAGAGAGAGAGAGAGAGAGAGAGAGAGAGAGAGAGAGAGAGAGAGAGAGAGAGAGAGAGAGAGAGAGAGAGAGAGAGAGAGAGAGAGAGAGAGAGAGAGAGAGAGAGAGAGAGAGAGAGAGAGAGAGAGAGAGAGAGAGAGAGAGAGAGAGAGAGAGAGAGAGAGAGAGAGAGAGAGAGAGAGAGAGAGAGAGAGAGAGAGAGAGAGAGAGAGAGAGAGAGAGAGAGAGAGAGAGAGAGAGAGAGAGAGAGAGAGAGAGAGAGAGAGAGAGAGAGAGAGAGAGAGAGAGAGAGAGAGAGAGAGAGAGAGAGAGAGAGAGAGAGAGAGAGAGAGAGAGAGAGAGAGAGAGAGAGAGAGAGAGAGAGAGAGAGAGAGAGAGAGAGAGAGAGAGAGAGAGAGAGAGAGAGAGAGAGAGAGAGAGAGAGAGAGAGAGAGAGAGAGAGAGAGAGAGAGAGAGAGAGAGAGAGAGAGAGAGAGAGAGAGAGAGAGAGAGAGAGAGAGAGAGAGAGAGAGAGAGAGAGAGAGAGAGAGAGAGAGAGAGAGAGAGAGAGAGAGAGAGAGAGAGAGAGAGAGAGAGAGAGAGAGAGAGAGAGAGAGAGAGAGAGAGAGAGAGAGAGAGAGAGAGAGAGAGAGAGAGAGAGAGAGAGAGAGAGAGAGAGAGAGAGAGAGAGAGAGAGAGAGAGAGAGAGAGAGAGAGAGAGAGAGAGAGAGAGAGAGAGAGAGAGAGAGAGAGAGAGAGAGAGAGAGAGAGAGAGAGAGAGAGAGAGAGAGAGAGAGAGAGAGAGAGAGAGAGAGAGAGAGAGAGAGAGAGAGAGAGAGAGAGAGAGAGAGAGAGAGAGAGAGAGAGAGAGAGAGAGAGAGAGAGAGAGAGAGAGAGAGAGAGAGAGAGAGAGAGAGAGAGAGAGAGAGAGAGAGAGAGAGAGAGAGAGAGAGAGAGAGAGAGAGAGAGAGAGAGAGAGAGAGAGAGAGAGAGAGAGAGAGAGAGAGAGAGAGAGAGAGAGAGAGAGAGAGAGAGAGAGAGAGAGAGAGAGAGAGAGAGAGAGAGAGAGAGAGAGAGAGAGAGAGAGAGAGAGAGAGAGAGAGAGAGAGAGAGAGAGAGAGAGAGAGAGAGAGAGAGAGAGAGAGAGAGAGAGAGAGAGAGAGAGAGAGAGAGAGAGAGAGAGAGAGAGAGAGAGAGAGAGAGAGAGAGAGAGAGAGAGAGAGAGAGAGAGAGAGAGAGAGAGAGAGAGAGAGAGAGAGAGAGAGAGAGAGAGAGAGAGAGAGAGAGAGAGAGAGAGAGAGAGAGAGAGAGAGAGAGAGAGAGAGAGAGAGAGAGAGAGAGAGAGAGAGAGAGAGAGAGAGAGAGAGAGAGAGAGAGAGAGAGAGAGAGAGAGAGAGAGAGAGAGAGAGAGAGAGAGAGAGAGAGAGAGAGAGAGAGAGAGAGAGAGAGAGAGAGAGAGAGAGAGAGAGAGAGAGAGAGAGAGAGAGAGAGAGAGAGAGAGAGAGAGAGAGAGAGAGAGAGAGAGAGAGAGAGAGAGAGAGAGAGAGAGAGAGAGAGAGAGAGAGAGAGAGAGAGAGAGAGAGAGAGAGAGAGAGAGAGAGAGAGAGAGAGAGAGAGAGAGAGAGAGAGAGAGAGAGAGAGAGAGAGAGAGAGAGAGAGAGAGAGAGAGAGAGAGAGAGAGAGAGAGAGAGAGAGAGAGAGAGAGAGAGAGAGAGAGAGAGAGAGAGAGAGAGAGAGAGAGAGAGAGAGAGAGAGAGAGAGAGAGAGAGAGAGAGAGAGAGAGAGAGAGAGAGAGAGAGAGAGAGAGAGAGAGAGAGAGAGAGAGAGAGAGAGAGAGAGAGAGAGAGAGAGAGAGAGAGAGAGAGAGAGAGAGAGAGAGAGAGAGAGAGAGAGAGAGAGAGAGAGAGAGAGAGAGAGAGAGAGAGAGAGAGAGAGAGAGAGAGAGAGAGAGAGAGAGAGAGAGAGAGAGAGAGAGAGAGAGAGAGAGAGAGAGAGAGAGAGAGAGAGAGAGAGAGAGAGAGAGAGAGAGAGAGAGAGAGAGAGAGAGAGAGAGAGAGAGAGAGAGAGAGAGAGAGAGAGAGAGAGAGAGAGAGAGAGAGAGAGAGAGAGAGAGAGAGAGAGAGAGAGAGAGAGAGAGAGAGAGAGAGAGAGAGAGAGAGAGAGAGAGAGAGAGAGAGAGAGAGAGAGAGAGAGAGAGAGAGAGAGAGAGAGAGAGAGAGAGAGAGAGAGAGAGAGAGAGAGAGAGAGAGAGAGAGAGAGAGAGAGAGAGAGAGAGAGAGAGAGAGAGAGAGAGAGAGAGAGAGAGAGAGAGAGAGAGAGAGAGAGAGAGAGAGAGAGAGAGAGAGAGAGAGAGAGAGAGAGAGAGAGAGAGAGAGAGAGAGAGAGAGAGAGAGAGAGAGAGAGAGAGAGAGAGAGAGAGAGAGAGAGAGAGAGAGAGAGAGAGAGAGAGAGAGAGAGAGAGAGAGAGAGAGAGAGAGAGAGAGAGAGAGAGAGAGAGAGAGAGAGAGAGAGAGAGAGAGAGAGAGAGAGAGAGAGAGAGAGAGAGAGAGAGAGAGAGAGAGAGAGAGAGAGAGAGAGAGAGAGAGAGAGAGAGAGAGAGAGAGAGAGAGAGAGAGAGAGAGAGAGAGAGAGAGAGAGAGAGAGAGAGAGAGAGAGAGAGAGAGAGAGAGAGAGAGAGAGAGAGAGAGAGAGAGAGAGAGAGAGAGAGAGAGAGAGAGAGAGAGAGAGAGAGAGAGAGAGAGAGAGAGAGAGAGAGAGAGAGAGAGAGAGAGAGAGAGAGAGAGAGAGAGAGAGAGAGAGAGAGAGAGAGAGAGAGAGAGAGAGAGAGAGAGAGAGAGAGAGAGAGAGAGAGAGAGAGAGAGAGAGAGAGAGAGAGAGAGAGAGAGAGAGAGAGAGAGAGAGAGAGAGAGAGAGAGAGAGAGAGAGAGAGAGAGAGAGAGAGAGAGAGAGAGAGAGAGAGAGAGAGAGAGAGAGAGAGAGAGAGAGAGAGAGAGAGAGAGAGAGAGAGAGAGAGAGAGAGAGAGAGAGAGAGAGAGAGAGAGAGAGAGAGAGAGAGAGAGAGAGAGAGAGAGAGAGAGAGAGAGAGAGAGAGAGAGAGAGAGAGAGAGAGAGAGAGAGAGAGAGAGAGAGAGAGAGAGAGAGAGAGAGAGAGAGAGAGAGAGAGAGAGAGAGAGAGAGAGAGAGAGAGAGAGAGAGAGAGAGAGAGAGAGAGAGAGAGAGAGAGAGAGAGAGAGAGAGAGAGAGAGAGAGAGAGAGAGAGAGAGAGAGAGAGAGAGAGAGAGAGAGAGAGAGAGAGAGAGAGAGAGAGAGAGAGAGAGAGAGAGAGAGAGAGAGAGAGAGAGAGAGAGAGAGAGAGAGAGAGAGAGAGAGAGAGAGAGAGAGAGAGAGAGAGAGAGAGAGAGAGAGAGAGAGAGAGAGAGAGAGAGAGAGAGAGAGAGAGAGAGAGAGAGAGAGAGAGAGAGAGAGAGAGAGAGAGAGAGAGAGAGAGAGAGAGAGAGAGAGAGAGAGAGAGAGAGAGAGAGAGAGAGAGAGAGAGAGAGAGAGAGAGAGAGAGAGAGAGAGAGAGAGAGAGAGAGAGAGAGAGAGAGAGAGAGAGAGAGAGAGAGAGAGAGAGAGAGAGAGAGAGAGAGAGAGAGAGAGAGAGAGAGAGAGAGAGAGAGAGAGAGAGAGAGAGAGAGAGAGAGAGAGAGAGAGAGAGAGAGAGAGAGAGAGAGAGAGAGAGAGAGAGAGAGAGAGAGAGAGAGAGAGAGAGAGAGAGAGAGAGAGAGAGAGAGAGAGAGAGAGAGAGAGAGAGAGAGAGAGAGAGAGAGAGAGGGAGTGGGA